CTGAGGTAGTCAAAATCCTAACTAACATTAAATGGAGTTTTTAGTCTTTAAACAACTGCAGGTTAGAGCTTTACTGCAACAGGCAAATTGTATGATTGTTTAGCTGCTCACTAGCATTCTTGCCTCCATGTGCAGAAGTGTGGTGGGGTGAAAGATGGGTGTGGTTTTAAATAGCATAGGTTTTATGGGGAGTACCCAATGCTGATATGTGATGGAGTAACTTCCGATGTACTTCTGATGGTGCCAAGTGCTGGGCTGACAGGATGGTATCCTGAGTGCTTGTGACAGCTCTCAGCCAGAGGCTGCTGCTGGCTTCAGGGAGCCCCCCTGCAGCCACCTTGTTGTCACCCTGCTGGACCTTGCAGCTCATGTCCCAGCTCTCAGGAGGTTCACAGTATTCCTTGGCATGCATAAGCAGAGTAGGAATGCCAGCCTGTTGGTATCGTGAGTCTCTCAAAACCCACTGTATGGCTGTCTGATTTATTCAAAAGCCAGTTTATCACATACTGAGAATAAAGTGAGTCCTGTGTATACAACTGAGGTAAAGATCAATGGCTGATTACAGTTCTCAGCATTAAAAAAATGAGGTAGTGGTGAAAGTCAGCAGCTTCTGTCAACCTAGCTCCATTAGTTAACATTAGCTCGATTTGAGGCTGTCGGGGTGGGCTCCTCCCCAGTGAGAGGGCTCCAGTGCTGGGAGCCAAGGACATTTAAATATGCTAGTATTAGCTAAGGATCTTCTACAGCACAAGATCACTATCTTTCTTTTCCCTACCCTTTATAAAACACAGACACAATAGTGGAGCCATGTCTATTTGCCTTTGATGCCTACTTCAAAATTCAAACTCCCAGTGTGCTCATCTCCCAGGCAATTTGCTTTAATGTACTATATAGGGAAGAAACTTTCCCCTGAGTTTGCAATATTATATAAATCAGATGTTTTATAAATATCAACTTACAAATGTGTGTGTACGTTTAATTTAAATTCTGTGGTAATTCTGCTGATGTTATGGCTTCTGAGAACAGCACTTGATGTGTCCGTATTAAAGGAGGTAAGTTCAAGCATGACAATGAGGTTAAATATATGGCAATCTTCTTGAAGTGCTGCAGTACTTAAGCGCAGTACACTTAAGACTATCACAATATTATATGTAGCTTGCAGAATATATTTTAAGAGCTAGTTATTAAACACATTTCTTTATAGCCCAGGTTATAATTAATCTCTGGCATTTCATAGAAACCATAATAAATGCTGACACTAGGAGACACACTGCCTGTGCTGTGATCCAGCTTGACAACACCTGGTTTTAGGGTTTCTGTTCTCAGTGTCTTAGCCAGAAGCAAGTGCGGTGTATTGATGTGCAGCATGTTTTACTGCAAGGGGGTTTGGAGATGAGAAAATCTGTGATTATATATTTATTTATGCATGAAGCACAACCCTAAGCTTTTTACTAACATAGGTAATATTTTGGTAAGAAATTTCTTGTAATTAGTTCTTAAGAATTCTCCATTTTCTATATGCTTGCTGTGTATCTAATCTTTGGTTTTAAATAGTCAGTCTTAGCATGTAGACTCAAGCAAAATGTCTCACACTGTTGATAAGTACTCTCCATGTGTAAGTATAAAGCTTTGCAGACAGATGGGAGCAGCACAGTTTTGGGAAAAAAAAAATTTCTGTGTGTCAAATGCATAGTAACATTTTTGGCTATTTCCATATGAGTATTAAAAAAGTTTTGTGAACAAAAACTTCTATGGAGACTGAGAATCCAAAGTTTTGGCTCTGGGCATCTTACAGTCTGATTGCTTGCGCAGGGTGGAATATGGAGGTGATCGAGATGCAGATGAACCTGGTGAAAAACTGTGTATATTGGTTGGGGAAGATGTTGGGGAGACTGGCTGTGAACTCTTGAAAGAGCTATATTCTCTGTAATGTTTTGTTCTGCACAGGAGAAAGTTTACTGCATAGCTGTTGACACACAGAGCATCATGTGCATTTAAGTAAAGCATCCCCTGCTATCACCTGATCATTTTCCCCTGAATACTGCAAGGGGAGTCTGTCTCCCCAAGACAAAATGATTAAAAAATAAAAAATCAAAGAAAATAACATGCAAAATCTTTGCCATAAACCAGGAAGGGTTTCTACAGGACACACAAAGCTTAGCTGACATTCACAAATAGTACTGAAAAGCCGCCCATAAAAACAGCTAGTATGACAACGATGGCCACATTTTTCAAGTAGTGAGTCTGTTTTCTCCCCAGACATGAAAGCTTTCTGTTAATGCTCTCTCTTCTATATGTCATAATTTCTCATCTGTCCTCTCTTAATATGACTGGAAGCTATCCGTGTGGCTGTAACTAGAGCCATAGATTTCCAGTATTAAAAGTGGTTTTGCTTAAGTTCTTGTTTAGCGTACCTTTGTAAAATAAGTAAGGGGAATAAAGTTGTGTTTCAAATTTGTTACAATTTCTGCTATTCAGTGAAACTTTCTCTCGTGTGCTGTTTTTACCTATGTGTGGACATAAAGGATTTATTTTTTCTTAAATTACCTAGTTTGAGTTACTGTGTCACTGCTTTCAGACTTTGGGATTATAGGCTGGTGCAGAGGATAGCCAATGGCCCTAGACTGATGTTAGGAAGACTGAGCACAATAGTTGAATGTCTGATATAGTACAGTGGCTTTTCTGCAACTTTAGACAAAAACAAATTAAAAGCAATTCAGTTATTCAGTTGTAAATAACTGCTCGCTTCCTGATATGTGGGTTTTTTTTTTTGAAGGTGGATGAATTGTGTCTGTCTGCTACATAATCAATAGAGTTAAAATCCCTGGCCACTTATTTCCTGTGAAGTGATTAAAATCCACTTAGTACATAGATTAGGCTGGCCATACCGCTCCTTTGCAGCAATATGTCAAGATAATTATTAGACGGTTTATGAAGTGCTGAAATGTAAATGGTCAGCATAAATCTTCATAGAGTGTATTTTAATAGTTTTATTCCATTCAGAGAACAAATGGAGTCAAGCTTTGGCTGGCCTTCTCATACTTTTCTCCAAACTTACATAGAAGTATAGCGCTTTCATCTTTCAAGGGCAGCTTTTCTTAATAGTAAGAGATGCTGCTGAAAGGATACAGCTGCAGATGGTTCTTCTCTGATTGGTGATGTGTAAGGGGCACAAAATATTTGGTGTTGTAACTTCTGAACAGCCATTCTGCACATAAGGGGAACAAAAGCTCTGCTGTTTTCTCGACCTTCTCTAATAAATCTTCACATACAGGAAATGTGTAATTTTTGAAATCTTATTTCTATCAGTAGACTTAGCCCAAGGTCTAGTATTAAGTCAAAATTCAGTCCTTGCTATTTCTTTCTCACTATTTGGTTTATTTTCCTATGAAATCAAATATGCAGTTTGAAGCCAACAACTTCTAAGCCACATTGTCTCTGGAAGAAGCATAACTACAGTTTCAAGACACAGGACTGTTGATGCCATGATAGGTCATCATCTCTAAATCCTACTCCCAAAATGAGGGAGGATTTATCAAACAGTTGATAAATTTTATTAAATCAACAGGTAGAGTTGGAAAGTACCCAAGCATGAAAAATCTTTTATTGGAGCTTCAAAGCTGATAGGGTTTTTCTACAACATTACTACTTAGTACTTCCCCCTAGACATGTTGTCTTGCTGAAGTCAGTTATGTTGGTTTTCACTTTACGTGTTTGTTTTCCTGTGATTACATATTATTTTCTTTGATGGTTTAACCAGTATTTGAAGGAAGTTACAAGAGATTTGTAATTAAGACAGTGGACTGAAAGCCAGCTTGAGTTCTGTGGTATCTGGCTTGATTGTGAGTTAGGGTGTTATAAACATGGCTGATGCATTTGTGTTGGTATTTTCTTGCTGGCTAAAATGGGTGCAAGTATATTTGCCTATTTTTTCTATTTTCAGAATGTGTACTTCAAAACAAGGTGTGTTATAACGTGTTTTTAGACATCTGGGTATTTTTTTGGCAGCGTATTCCTGATTGCTGTTTCTTATTGTCATGTTCTCTGTCTTTGAAATAAAAAAAAAAAAGAAATGCTGATACAGTTACGCATCTTTTTCCTTAGCTAAGCTTATTCTTTGTTGCAAGCCACACCAAGGTGCTGTCTGTTTAGATCTGAACATAATTTAGAAACATCCTAAGCAAGTGCTGATAGTCCCCAGTCAACTTCCGAAGACAACACAGTGTTTTTAAAAGAGCTTGGAAAGCACGAAAAATAATAAATTGAAGATACTGTTGATTTCAGAATGAACAAATGACTGTAACTTAATAGACTCCTCCCTTTTTGCTAGTTTGTGTTGACATAACTATTTATTTATTGTTCTGTCTTCAGATTTTCATGTAGACATCTGTCCTCTTCATATGGAAAAAAAGAAACATTCTTGTATGTGTTACATGAAGTGTTCTGTGTTCAAGAATATTAGCAGCATGGCAGACAAAGCTCAGTGTTCTTTAAAATCTGCTCAGAAAATAGCCTGGAATACCTGTAGTGATCTGTTGTTTGTGTTGTTCTGTTGCTGGCAAAACAGTTATTTGGTGATGATACACTTATTTTAAAATCAATGTGCAGAGCATCAATTCCTAAAAATCCATTTAGAGCTCTAACTTTGCAGAATATATTACTTTGCCAATAAAGTTGGCTAACTCAGGAAACAATGTATATATTCTGTGGGGTTTGCCGATATTGTATGATAAGCAAAGATATGGTTTAGCAGTTTACTAAACCTGAACAGCCACTGGCCCTTTTTGTCCTAGAGAGAAGACTCCTGGGGCTCAAATAAACCATGCATGCTTTTACTGCCTTTCGCACTAGATGAGAGGATACATTGGTTCTCCAGACTTGTACCCTAATGAATTAGGCTCACAGCTATATGAGCTTTAAGCGGACTGTTTACAAATTTTTATGAAGTTTTTTGAAAGCATACCTCTTGGTCTGAAATAGTTTTATTGTTTGCTTTTTAGTTCAATTTTGTTGGGAAATTGCTTGGACCAAGAGGGAACTCCTTGAAGAGGTTACAAGAAGAAACAGGAGCAAAAATGTCCATCCTCGGGAAAGGATCCATGAGGGATAAAGCTAAGGTACTGTGTCTGGGTTCTGATTGCAATTAGTGTCAAAATACTTGCGCTTTAGCTGTTACATTTAGATTGTCTATATACTTATTAATGACTTCAATTAATATACCTAATTAATAGACTGACTACAAGGCTAGTTTGTTTTTTTCAAGTTACATCAGTTGTTTAAATATTGCTGCACAATACTTGCTTCCCATATAATTGTAGACCTCCACAGTTACTGTGTTACCAGTCTTACTTAAATAACTTGCCTAAAATAGGAACCAGCTTAAAGTTAATTTGTTCTGAGAGAAGTCTGTTTCTCCTGGGAAAGTATAGCTCGTATACATTACTGCTGTGGGACTTTAAAAAAAAAAATGATGGAGTATTTATTCAGGGCATAATTCTAAAAAAAAATATAACAAGGTGAATGTTCTGCTTAAATGTGTGTAAAAATACACTAGAGATAAAAGAAAAAAAAAGTGTTTAAGTTTTCTTTAAGTTAATCTAAGGTGTTTGTAAGTAAGGCAGCCTCACATGTATCTGACCCAGTGAACAAGTAGTGATTGGATTGCAGTGTCTTACTTTACAGTCTGTAGAAGAGCAGTGTTACAGCTAACACAGAAATAATGACTGCTAATTTCACTGGACTGTATATTGTCTTCAGTAATGTTGTACCTTACTCAGCTTCCCTTTCTGTCACCTCTGTCGTTCATCTCAATAGCTAAAATAATGAAAGCAATAATATGCCAGAATAAAGGGAAGACTAATCAGGATTTTATGATTGGCATTATTTGGTCTTGGTGGTGCATATAAGCAGTCACACATGCATTATGAGGTCTCCAAGCATAACACTGAAAAAAAACCAACACCCCACGAACCGGATAAATTAGGCACATGGAATGTATTCCGTTTTTTCAGAACTTTCTTTATGACATTGGGCATACTGACACCTGAGTTATCTGTTTAACACTATATTTTATGATAATATTTAATACAGTGCAGATTTTATTTTTAGGTATTGACAAGTAAAATATTTTATGACTTTTGGCTTATTCCTGGAATGATAAAAAAATGACTCCCTGGATGAATGAATGCATGTGCTGCTACGTAGATGTAATTTGCATCAGTACTGCATCTGCCAGCTCCATTCTCAGCCACCCACTCAGATTATTACTGCCAAGAGTAGCAGTTGCTCAGGCAGGGGAGTGTGAAGGGCTTGTTACCAGCTGATGATGTTTAAATGCACATAAGTAATAGACTTAAGTCCTCTGATTTTGAGATCCATCACTTTTCTTATCATATGATTAGAATTTTATCTGATCATTATGAACAGTGCCAGCATGCCAGTTATTACATTCACCGTGAGCATGGTATTTTTTCTCCTGTTCGTATTTAGTCCTTATGCATAATCTCAAGTTAAGTATGAGCTTCTTGGAAACTCATGGGAATCATGTAAAAAATTAAGTTCTAGGGTAAAATAGCATTAATGGAGCAGTGATGAAAGCAACTTCTGTAGAGGAGGCCTCGTAAGTGACTGTTATCTTAATCCAATTTAGACATTACTGGCTGAAAGGAAAACAAAATCCCTTTATAATTACAGTGAGAGATAGAAATTATCTGATCTGTGTGCACCACTGTTACGAGTTCCAAGGAAAAGGGGCTGAGAGTGATCATGGGATGGGTTATAGTTACAATTAGCATTTCAGAGAGGATATTCTAGGTTGCACTACCGGTAAAACTTAAAAGATATTTGAATGTGAGCATAAATAATAGCACGAATTGCTACGTTGCTAAGAAAAATACAACTTGCTCTGGCTAGAACAGTTTTCTTACCATAAACCAAGCCTAAAAATCCAATTTATGCAGTAATTTTTTTTTACTAATTTAAATTCAAATTACTAAGTCTGGAGGCTTGAGGTTGTTTCCTATGGTGCAAGAAATCAGCTTATATATATTGGCGGATGAGTCTTCCTTCTGGAGGAATTTTCAAGATACATCTGTGTAATTTTTTTCTGTAAGCTAGAGTTTCCTTAAAGCTATCTATATTATACCATGAACCATTATAGTCTGTAGGCAAATTGCAGGCACGTGTGGTTTTCCACAGCAGTCCAGCGCAGCTGGATGCTGAGCTGTATCAGAACAGTAGAAACAAAATTTCTGCTGGAAAATCCTAAATACATTTGTGCCCTAAATCTGTAAATACTTAATGTTTGAAAAGAAACGATCCACTGATTTGGAGGTTTTTAGTGCCAGAATGACAGTAGGCAAATGCTTGGCTCTACAGTGAGCCACTCTGGCCATAGTCTGTAATTCTGGGAATATGGAGGGACAGTTTCAAGTTCTGGGAAGCAGACCCTGGTCAAGGGAGGTATATCTGCTTTTCAGAATTTCCTTATCTTTGTAAAAATAAATGTGTGGGTAAATTTCAGAGACTAAGGAATTTGCACTATTCCTCTTCAGAGCCTCAGGGGATACTTGCTAAGTGTGACTTGAGAGTTTTGAATATCCATTGTACCTACAGTATGGGAACAGGATACATCAATTTCAAAAGGCAATGCAACTTACTTAAAATTAATATTATGAACAACTCCAATTATGCACAAACTAGCAAAGAGCATGTGTATGTGACACAGAAAGTTGTGTCAGAAATTGCTGAAGAGATGACCAAGTGTAACTGTAGCATTGGACATGAACACTTTACTAGACACAACAGAAGATGCTGGCTTTTAGATACTTCTTTTTGATTTGGCATGCAGAACTGTAGCTATCATTTCAAATATTTATTAGCTGAGTAACTCCCATTTATCTTTGACTCATAGAGAAGATACTGTTTAACCCCCACAGGACTGTAGTGACAGAACAAGGGGTAACGGGTTCAAACTTAAACAGGGGAAGTTTAGATTGGATATAAGGAAGAAATTCTTTCCTGTTAGGGTGGTGAGGCACTGGAATGGGTTGCCTAGGGAAGCTGTGAATGCTCCATCCCTGTTGGTGTTCAAGGCCAGGTTGGACAGAGCCTTGGGTGAGATGGTTTAGTGTGAGCTGTCCCTGCCCACAGCAGGGGGGTTGAACCTAGATGATCTTAAGGTCCTTTCCAACCCTAACTATTCTATGATTCTATGTTAAGCATAGTCATGACTACCGAGTATTGTGCCCACCTAAGAGCACTGCCACTTTCCAGTGAGTCCTTAGAACAGGTTGAACTGTCACTGTCTTGCTGGTTAACATGCTGCCACTAACAGTTCTCATTCCTGTAGTGATAGAGTATTATAAATATATTCCTCAGAACAGGTAGTGATTAGATTTTACATAGTGTGAAGGAGAAAAATGACTGCTACTGCTGAACCCAGGACACATAGTCATGTTGAGTTGCTTGGGTTTTGATTCTTCTCCATTTCTTTTTCTTCTTTTTCCAAACAGCATGGGAGGCTATTGTAAACAATCTGAAGTGACAGTAGAAATCTCATTACAAGTGTAATGAATTCACTGCAATAAATAACTTGCCTAGAGGTCTGTTGCACCAGGCTTTACACTGCTTCTGCTCCACTCATGTGGATGAGGTTGCTCGCTCTAGCTTGTAGCTATGTTAGTTAATCCCAGTGTCTTCTCATGAGATTTCAGTTCTTATAGTTGGAGATACAAATCTGAGAATTTCTATTCAAATGTCAATTGCAATTTTTTTAAGAAACAGAACCTGTAGGTTTACTTTCAGCCTGCAGGGAGTTTTGATCTGGACATTATGCAAAATCCCTGAAAATGTTTCTTTCTTATGTAAGATGTTTCCATTTCATTGAAGTACTGCTTTATCATCTTTAGCTGTAAAATCTCTAAGGGAAAGATAGAGCAATTTGTGACACTGGGTTTAGAAAACTGGCTCACATCTAGAAGAATCAGTAGCTAGTTCGAAATCACTAATTGGTGCTCACCCATTTAATCTTTATCTGTTAGATTTTCCTTTGCTGTGTTATCAAAGTATTATTGGCTTTGTATTTTTATCTCTACAGTTATAGCACCTTAGGACTCACAGCCATTTTATCCCATAAATGGCTTTAAGACGCAAGGCAGGATTAGGCCCTCAGCGTGCCTTCAAGATAGGAGCAGAAGTTACAGCAGCGCACTGCTTCTGCTGCAGCACATTTTTTTCCTTTCCTAAGTCTCTGCAGCATCTTGATACTTACTGCTGTGAGGCTGTAAGGACTATAGCAACCAGCAGCAAAGAAAAATGAAAGCAAAAGGAAACAAACAGAAAGCAGAGTACCCCATATTTTGAAACTGAAATCTTTAAAGGATCTTTTGCAAAAGGTTCATAATCTCCATTTTCTCGGTTTTTCCTTTAAGTAAGGATGTCAACAGATATCATGACTTTCAAACTCTAGAGCTAGGATTTACTTGAAAAAAATTAAAAGAACATACTTCCTCCTAATACAGAAAAAACTTAAACCTGTTGGAGGCACAGATTAAAAGAAGAGACCATCTTCTGCACTCTATGGAAATGTTGTCTTTCCCCAGATCATTTGTTAGGGCCACATTCCTGCCAGGAGCATGTTTTGATTTGGTAGTTTTTGCAGCTTCTATCGGTTACCTCTCTGTCTGGCTTGCTGGTGGGACCAAACTCAAAAATATAAGGTCATTGATCTAAGATACAGTTTACTTGCCCTAGTGGGACAAATTCTTCCCTTCCTGATATTCAGATGGTCCTGTCTGCATATATCAGTATCATGCATAATCAATAGATGCCTTCTGATAGATAGTCCCTTATCTATCAGAAAGCTCATCAGTGTTAACAGGCATCTCCTTAATACCACTGACCGGTAACTTTGGATTTGGACACTGGCTAGAAAGATCAATTTCTGTTATCCTTCAATATATGCAGTTTCTAATGATCTGCAACACGGCAACCCCAGGCTGTTTCAGTTTGTGCTATAAAATCTTGGAAAAGTCCATTTGTTTCAGTTTCTGCCAAGTTTATTTGTTTCCTTGCTGTATGGATTTTTCCTTCCAAAGGTGGTTTGTCATATTTATGT